AGCTCCCTGGGATGCTCGGTGATCAATCACACACAGAGCCTCCTGTGTCCTGAGCCCCTGGCCAGGGGGTGGCACTTCCCACCCCTTCCCCTCACCCCTCACATCCTATCCACTTGCACGTCCAGGCATCTCTACCGCCGAAAAATCACCAAAACCCATCGCTCCTGGTCACTACCACGGCCACCTCCCTGCTCAAGCCACCTCCCCTACTCCCGAAGCGGGACACTGCAGCAGGCCTCTCACCGTCTGCTGCTTCCCCCTCACCCCACGCCCTTCAGCTCACGGCCACCTTTGGAAGACATGAAACATCTTCAAATGGCTAAACGGAAAGGAACTCTATGACCTGGCAACTCCCCTCCTTGGGATACACCAAAGGAAAGGAAGGCCTGTGTCCACACAAGCCCCTGAACACGAATGTCCATGGCAGCACTACTCACAATGGCCAAAAGGTAGCAACAACCCGAGTGTCCACCAACAGACGAATGGATACACAAAATGCAGTGTATCCACACAATGGAATATTATTCAGCCTTAAAAAGTAACAAAGAAATGGAAGGTGGTGATGGTTACACAACATTGTGAATGTACTTAATGCCACTGAACTGTACACTTAAAAATGTCTAAGATGGTAAATTGTACATTATGTATATTTTACCACAATTTCAAAAAAAGGACTGAAGCACCAATACATGCTACAACGTGGATGAACCTCAAAAACCTCACACTGAGTGAGAGAAGCCAGACACAAAAGGCCACATAGTGTATGATTCCATGTATACGAAACGTCCAGAACAGGCAAATCCACAGAGACAGAAAGCATATTGGTGGGTGCCAGGGATAGGGAAGGGGAATGGAGAGTGACTGCTTGTGGGTATGGGGTTTCTTTTCTGGGGTATGGAAATGTTCTAAAGTGACTTGTGATGGCTGCACAACTCTGTGAATATGCTAAAAACCACTGAATGGTATGCTTTATTATTATTTATTTCTGTTTTTTTTGCTGAGGAAGATTGTCCCTGAGCTAACATCTGTGCCAATCTTCCTCCATTGTGTATGTGGGTCACCGCCACAGCATGGCTTGATGAGTGGTGTGTAGGTCCACGCCTGGGATCCGAACCCTGCGAACCCCAGCATGCAAACTTAACCACTACACCACTGGGCCAGTCCCATGAATGGTACACTTTAAATGGGTGATTTGAATGTATTGGGAATTATACCTCAATAAAGCTGTTATAAAACAAGCAGAGGGTCAGGCCACTCACCATCTCAAACCCTCCCAGAGCCCCTCCTCAGGGGAACCCAGGGCTCATGAGGCCGCTCCAGCCTTGCCTCTCCTCTCCCTCTTTTGACATGACGGCCTCATTGTCCTCCCACCTGTCCTCCACCTCGACAAGCTCTTCCTACCTCAGGGCCTTTGCACCTGCCCGTCCCTCAGCTGGGGCACTCTTCCCCAGCGTGGGGGGTTCTATCTCTCTGTCCAGATGTCAGCCCCATGCCCTAGCCAGTCTCAGCACATCACTCTGCTGCTTCTCTCCAATAGCGTCTGCTTTGTTCATTTGTAATGAGTCTCTCCTGTTCCCCCTAAAACCACACCGGCTCCCCAAGAGCATGGCCCTCACATGTCTTGTATGCTGCCCAGCACCCAACACAGTCCCTGGGATGGGATGGGCAATTAAAATGTCATTTTGTGCAATGAATAAGCTACCCCAACTTTCCAGGTGAGGATTCTGAGGCCCAGAGGGGTTAAGAAACCTGTCCCAAGTCACACAGCAGAGCGCCATGCACATTGGGCTGCCTCAAGGCTGAGAATGAGAAAGAAACACTCATGCCCCCACTCCTCTAACCTGCGACTTGAGAGCAGTCTCCCTGACATCACGTCCTGTTCCCCAACCCAACCCAGCCCTTGGGGTCCCCGCCTCCAGGAGAGGTGACAGCATGGATTTACTCATCAGGCCCAACGTCTGCTGACTGGTCTTTCACAAGGGAAGGCACTGCGGGCACGCCCATCAGCACTAAGGATTGTGAGCAGACACACGAGTGGCCCTGCTCGCTCCAGTCCTGCGGAATTTACGACAGAACAGCAGGTACCGACTGGGGACAGGTACTGACTATCCCACCTATTCGCAGGTGCAGGTGAAACCCTGGTGTCTACCGCATGGGAAGGCAGCACAGGAAGGCTGCAGCCACGGGAGGAGGGCAGGAGGGGAGCCTGCATCAGGTGGGTTCACCCACCGGCACCAGACACTGCAGATCTTCCACTCGCCACGTGCAATGGCCGGACAGCTGGGAACTAGCTTGCCCATCCTGGTCCCAGGTGCGGGAAAAGCCATCAGCATGACCAAGGTGGCACAGCCATAGGGGTGGGGACAGAGCTTGAACTCTATCTGCCCAGTGAAAAGGTTGCACCCCTGCCCACTCAACGTTTCCTCCAACTGAAGGCTTCTTGGCCTCAGCACTGCTGACCCCCGGGGCCGGTGCGCTCTCCGTTACGGCGGCTGTCCATGCATCACAGGGGGTTGAGCAGCATCCTGCACTCTACCCACTAAATGCCAGTAGCACCCCCTCCCCTAGTCAAGACAACAAAAATGTCTCCAGTCATTGCTTAATGTCCACTGAGGGACAGAATCGCCCCCTGTAGAGAACACTGCTCTGTCTCTAAAAGTCCAGTGTGAGCTCACCTCTGCCCAGGGCCCATGTCCACCCACCTCCCCAACTCCTGAAGCCAACAGAGGGGGAGGAAGGAGACAGAAAATGGTTTCCAGGACCAAAAGAACTGCTGTCTGCGTATCTCAAAAATCTTGTCTAAATCCCTCAATGGATGAACAGATAAACAAACGTGGTCCATTCAGACAATGGAATATTACTTGGCCATAAAAAGGAACGAAGCACTGCCATACGCTACATGAATGAACCTTGAAAATATAATGCTGCGTGAAAGAAGCCAGACACACGGGGACACATATGAAATGTCCAAAATAGGTAAATCCATAAAAATGTAGAAATCTAGAAAGATAGGTGGTTGCCAAAGGCTGGGAAGTGGGAAATGGGGAGTGACTGCTGGAAGTGGGAAATGGGGAGTGACTGCTGGTGGGTACAAGGTTTCTTTTGGGGGCAATGAAAATGTTCTGGAATTAAGACAGTGGTGATGGTTGCACAACTCTAAAAACCACTAAATTGTATACTTTAAACAAGTGAATTATATGGTATGTGAACTATCTCTCAATAAAACTGTTATTTTAAAGAAATCTTTTCAACAACAATAATCCATTTCCAACCCCAACGCAGAAACCGGACCTCCAGTCACGAAGACAGCCACGAACCTAGTGTGACCCCATTCTTCCTGTCACACTACATACATTTGACACCTACTGTATGTTAGCACATGCTACATTCTGGAGACAAGATGAAGTGGACACTCCTGCCCTCAGAAGCCCTGACACATGGGGGACACTCAAGTTGCACACTTTCCTTCACTCATTCATTCACCGACCACGCCCTGCGCAAAAAGGGGAGCTGCTGGAGCTGCTGGAGCAGGCAGAGGCAGCACCTGGCCGACAGTGAGCACCCAATCAATGTGTGCCAAATGAACGCACAGAAGTGAAGACACACCTTCTAGTCTACAAGGTCACGATCTCGAGGAGAAACAAGCAGCTAATTAGAAAATAACGTGACCTGAAAAGTCCACTTGAAGAATCAGGCGTGTGACCTGAGGCTCACATCACAGAGGTAGGTCCACCGGGGATGGTCTGATCAGAGACCAAACCCAGAAATCAGCGATGTGAGTGTCTGCAGCTCCCACCCAAACCCTCCCCGAGGCCCCAGGGTGCAGGACACCACTCTTTCAGAACGCAACGGAGATTTACTGCCACCTGTGCAAAGCATGCTCACCTCCTTGACCCACAGGAAGGACTTGCCAGACACATTTGACAAAGGAGGACACCGAGGCCTGAGAAGCTCGGTACCTCACTGTGGTCACATAGCCAGGGAGCTGGGGCCCAGGAGAAAAGCCAGGCCTCCGACCCCAGCCCCAACCAAGGCCCTGCTCTGGGCTCACAGAGACTTGCCAGGCGAGGTCAGCAGGCAACGTGGCCTGCCCCTGCAGGCCAAACAGCCCAGCCACCTGAGGGAGAGCTGTCCCTCCACCCTGGTCCTCAGGGGCCAGGGGCCATCTGTGGCCAGCTGTCCTTTGTCCCAGTGGGAGGAACATCACCTGGTCCCCACCATAGGGGCTGCACGGAGAAGGGGCAGCTGTCTCCACTCCAAGCTCCAGGACTGAGCACAATCTGCCTTCCCAAAGCCCCTCGGGTACCCACAGGGGAGGACACCTGGCCTTTGCCCCAGGTGTCCAGAGCGGAGAGATACCTATCCCACCTCGGGTCTGCAAGTGGGGGCACCTATCCTTCCCCCAGCACCCAGGGAGTGAGGGCACAGGTGACAATGATGTAGAGACACCGGTCACTTCAGGTAGCAGTGATGGGGGGGAACTTGTCCCGCACCAGGTACCAATGATGTGGGAGCACCTATCCCCCCTACAAGGTAACAACGATGCTCACAAGCAGCATCCGGTTCATACACCTCAGTGTCATCCCGTCTCCCCCAGGTAGCAGTGATATGGGGGCACCTGTCCCCCTCAGGGAGCAAGGATGTAGGACACCTAGCCGCCCTCAGGTAACAACGGTGTAGTGGCACCTGTTCCCTCCAGGTAGTGAGGATATAGAGGCCCCTACCTCTCCAGGTAACAATGATGCAGTGACACCTGTCCCCCACTCCGGGTAGCAATGATGTGGGGGCACCTGTATCCCTTCAGGTATCGATGATGTGGGGGCACCTGTCCCGCCCACGACGCCCGGGGCGCGGGGACACCTGTCCCCTCCGGCTGCGCCAAGCCCCGCCCCCGCCGCGCCCCGCCCCCGCCGCGCACCCCTGGCCCCGTGCACGCGCCGGACACGCGCCCTCTCCCTCCCTCCCCGGCCCTGCGGGGTCAGCGCGGGCAACCCCCTTACCCGCGCGGCCCGCGTCAGGCTCAGGTCCTTCATGACCTCCTCGAAGGCCGCCGTCTCCTCCGCCTGCTTCTGGTTGTGCAGCGCGATCTTCTCGCTGAATTTCCGCGGATTGTTCGAAGTCGCCATCTTCTCGCCGCCGCCGCCGCCGCCGCCGCCTCCGCCTCCTCCGCCTCCTCCTCCTCCTCCTCCACCTCCTGGCCCCCCCACTCGCCGGTGCCACCGCGCAAGCGCCGGCCGAGCCCGCGGGCGGTGAGCAGTGCGCAGGCGCTTCGGCGGTCGTGAGCGCGGCGCAGGCGCACGGGAGCGGCGCGCGGCGCGGGGGCGACAGCGCATGCGCTCGCCCTGGCGGCGGGCTTGGGGCCGGCGGGGGAGGCGAGGGAGGGAAAGTGGGAATTTTGGCGCAGGCGCAGTGAGCCGCCTCCTGGCCCGCTGGACAGCGGCTGCTTGGCCGTTAGGCAAGGTCCGCGGACCGGCGGGGGGGGGCGGCGCTGGAGCCCCCAAGAGGGAGACAGCTGGACCCAAACCCTTCCAGGTCACAAGGATGGGGCCAGCACCCCCGCAAGGACAGGTAGCACCCTGAGGCTAAGCCTAGGCTCCGACCAGTTCCTCTCTGAGGCCATTTCAGGGCGTTGCTCGTTCATGCATTCATTCATTCAACGAATATTTATTGGGGGCCCGTATGTGCCAGGCACACTGGGGGAAAGGAGTGAGCAAGCGGGCGTGGCCCTTGCCCTCATGGGATGCACAGTCGGGGAGGGGATGGACATCACCCACCAACAAATGACCCAAGAACCTTTCAGATGAAGACACATGTATGTGGAAAATAAAACCAGGGATGGGCTGGCAGGAGAGTGACGTTAGCATGGGAGGCACCTACGGCCACCACCGTCAGGGTGGCGGGGGGACATCTGAGCTGAGACCTGAACCTGTGAGCAGCCCCCAGCCCACAAAACCTGGGCGTCATCCTTACTACCTTCCTCTCACCTCACATTTGACCCTATTCTCTGATCCTTAAGCCCAAAGAGCTTCAGCCTCCTCTCTGAATTTCTCCAGCCCAGTCTTACTCAGGGAGCCCAGCGTTGCCATGGGGTGCTAAAGGAAAGGTCCAGAAATCCACCCGGACCAGACCCAGCAGTGAAAGGGGTAGCAGAGTCTCCCTGGTGGCAGGGGGGTGACCCAGGGAAGAAAGAGGGGTTCTGACATCCAGCTGTCCCTCCTCGAGCAGAGGGACTGCACCCACCAGGGATTTGGGGCATGGACGGGGCGGAAGCCGGGAGGGGTGCCTGGGGGGCTGCGGGACACCTCTAAGTGCACAACAAGCATGCTTTTTACTAAGGCCAGGGATGGCTGGACGCTGGTAGAGATCATAGGGGGACACCAACATTTTCTGAACATGCTTTTATTTGCACTTTACAACAGTTTAATGAAATGTCCATATTAAGTATATATATGTATATATTAATTTGGAGTATCCTAGGCACTGCCACTGCTCTGTTTTATCCTTCTTGTTCATATGGTTTTGAGCACTTCCATGGACTTCTAACCGTTTTGCATAACAAGCATCAGCTCCCCCTTTCGGGTGTCAACAACCAACTGCCCTTTGGGGAACACTCGTCACAACTTTCAGCCCATGATATGTGGATGGGGCTGGCTTCACTACTTTCTCTCCCCACAAACAACCCTTCCCAGGTTGGAAGGCTTGGCCAATCAGCAGAGCCCATTACTCTGCCATCACGATTGGTTCAGGGCAGTCATGTGACCCAGTTTGCACAATGAGATGCAATTCTGGAATTTTTGCTTGAACCATGGGAAAGAGAAGCACGCTCTTTGCTTGGGCGGCTGGTTTGAAGGATACCACAAGTCTGCAGTGCCAGAGGTCACCACTTGAAGAGAGATGGCCTGAAATAGTAAACCTACACAAAGGAAAATAAAGCCAAAGGTAAAGAGAGACACTGTCTGAGCTCCTGGATCCAGCCATGCCTGAAGCTAAACACCTCTGCCTTTTCAGTTATATGAGCCAATAATTTATTCTCTTTTTTGCTGAAGTCAACTTGAAGTCCATTTTCTTTCCCCAGCACTGACTGAGACAGCAGCTTCTGGGAGTCAAGTGTGGGGCTGGGCTTTCTACAGATGTGGCTTCTAGTGCCTGCCACCATCCTGTGAGATTGGAGAGGAAATAGAGACGAGAGCAGGGACAGTAGCTGCCCATAGCAAGTTAAGTGCCAGAGCCAGGACTAGAACTCAGGCCTGATGGCAGAGCTCAGTGTGTGGACCGCCAAGGTCTCTGCACAGGGTTTTGTAAGGTTTAAATGGGGTTAACTCATGTCAAGTGCCTGGCTCATAAGTGCTCAAAAAATGCTGGTTACCCTGATCACTGACATATGCCTGCACTAAGCCAGTCTCTGGGCACAAAAAGATAGGGGAGAAAAGATTTGGGGGGTAGCAGGGGTTATCAGGTCACAGAAAGGGGCCATGCCCACAGGGCAGAGGTGAAGGGCCAGTGCTCGCCCTACTCACCCCTGTTCACCTCACGCCCCGGCGGTAATTCGATCTGTCCTAAACCCTGGAGATGAGTCAGAGGAAGCCACGAGCCTGCTTATTGTGCAATGGCCAGACGGTGACCCAGGCCCTCCTCCTGCTCCACTGACCCCCAGCCCCGAGGAGGGCAGGGGAGGCTGAGGCATCTGGAGACCCGGGCAGCACCCAGCCCTGATGTTTTCACTTTCTTCCTTCATCAAAGGAAGCTGCTGCCACCCAGTGTAGCCAGGCAGGGCTCCTGGAGCAGCTGCAGTCTGTGTAAGGCAGGGCGGATCTAGGGCGGATCTCAGGCTCCGTATCGCACTGAGGAAAAGTCCCCCCTCCTCCCAGGGTCCGCAAGGCCCTTGCCCCCCTGGCCCTTCACTCCAGCCACTCCAGCCTCCTTGCTGTTCCACCTCCAGATCTTTGCACGTGCTGTTGCCTCTGCCAGGACCGTTTCTCCCCCAGATCCTTTCATGGCTGGCACCTTCTCATCTTTCAGGCTCCTCTGAGAGACCCTCCCTGAGGGCCCTATCTGAAGTGCACTCCTGTGTGTGTGTCCTATGACCAGGGAACAGCCAACTCTCTGAAAGCAGCTATTTCCGGGGTCTGCTCCCCCATAGATTGAGCTGAGATCAGAAGCTAACAGTATGTTCACCCTTTCCAAACACAGGGAACGGGGGCTCAGGTTCCCTGTGTGAAGCGGGAAAGACAGACACACCCAATTCCCTACTCTTAAGGCTTGTTCTCTATCCCCTGATGGCTCTGAGCACTTTAGGCCTCATTTTATACTCATCTGTGTTCATTCTGTTTCTCTGGGTCCCCAGAGCTAACACAACACTAGGCAGAGAGGGGGAATTAGGCAGTGTTTGTTGAATGAATCACTTTCTGCCTGGGAGACTCCTATTCATCCCTCAAAACCCACCTCAAATGTCCCCTCCTCCCCAAAGCCCATCCTGATCCCAAAGGATTCCTCACTCTAGGTTCACCCAGCCCTGGGTCCTTCTCCAGCCAGCCTTGACCAAAGGGGCTCGGAGTATCCAATTGTTGAATAGCTTCACTTTAGTTACAGAGCACATCCAAGTGTGAGCTAAGAGGCAAGTCCTTATAAGCCCCTTCCTGCTGCCTCCAGGATATAGTTTTCTCTCCTCTGTTCCGTAGCTCTGCTTGGCTCCATTTGTTCTCTGCCAGCTTCCCCAGCATCCTCTCCCACCCTTCCCTTTCTCACGTCCTCCACTGTAGCCTTGCTGCTTCCTGCCTCAGGGCCTTTGCACAGGCTGTCTCCCTGCCTAGAATGCCCTTTCCTCTGCATCCAGGCCATAGCACTCCTCAGCATCAAGCCTCTAAATAGAAGCCAAATGAAAACCTAAACTCCTGAGTATTTCTGCATGGCCCAGCCCTTGCCGACTCTCCAGCTGTGTGACAACAGAAAAGTGACTTCACCTCTCTGCGCCTCACTGTCTTCCCGTGTTAAATGTGGGTAGTGGCTCCTCATAGCAGGCTCTTGGGGAGATGAAATCGATATGCCAGTGAAGCACTCAGCGCCTGCTTCCTCACAAGCACTCAGCAACTGTTAGGGAAGCAAACCCTACCTCGAGATGCTGGTGTTCACGCCTTGGTTTTCTGCACTGCCTTATATGGAATCTCAGTCAATCCGGGGTACCCACATCGTGTGGAGGTGAATTCAGGCCATCAGAGCGGGAAGGCAAAGAGGAAACCATCCAGGGCCTTTGACTTCCAACCCAGGCACAGTTTTGAACCCAGACTGAGTTTTGAAAGGCAAAGCAAGAGCCAGGTTACATTATGAAGTGAAAGGGGAGAATTCAGTGGAAGCCAGAAACGCCAGACACGGCGCCCACTCCTTACAATTGAATAGGAAGAGGTTAGATGAGGACCCAGGCCCCTTGGCCCCCCCACCTGGGCTGAGTGTGGGGTGGAAGGTGGGACAGGGCAGGACTGCCAAAGAGGGTAGCAAGAGCCTAGAGCTGAGGGGCCAGGGACCCGGGGGGACGGCTTTAGGGGTCAACGAGACAGGGGCAGAGCCAACAATCCAGTTCCTCCCCTGGTAACCACTGTGCTGACAGGAGCTCTGGGGCGGGCCTCCCAGTGACACCACAATACCCTGGGACGTGGCTGAACTGCAGCTGAACGCCCCCATGCAGACCTCTTCCCTGCCATCCAAAAGCCCAGGACACCTACAGCCCAATCTACTGGACGGAAAAAGGGGAGAGTTCCCCGACCTCCAGGGGGCAGTGGCTGCAGGAGAGGTAGAGCAGGCTTCTCGTTTTGGTGCCCAGCATCGGAGGAGTCCCCATCCAAGTCTGGGGAGTCCCCACAATAAGAAGTCAACCCTCGGGGCCGGCCCCGTGGCTTAGCGGTTAAGTGCACACGCTCCGCTACTGGCGGCCCAGGTTCGGATCCCGGGCGCGCACCAACGCACCACTTCTCTGGCCATGCAGAGGCCATGTCCCACATACAGCAACTAGAAGGATGTGCAACTATGACATGCAACTATCTACTGGGGCTTTGGGGGAAAAAACGAGGAGGATTGGCAATAGATGTTAGCTCAGAGCTGGTCTTCCTCAGCAAAAAGAGGAGGATTAGCACGGATGTTAGCTCAGGGCTGATCTTCCTCACAAAACAAAACAAAAAAAGTCAACCCTCTGCTGGCAACAGAAGCCCCAAAGCCAATGGTGTGACAGATCAAACTACAGGCCTTAGCCCCCGGGCTGTTCCCGCGTCCCACCCTCCACCACGCACCACATGGCTCTGCCTCCCTAAGGTGGAGCATATTCCCCAGCCCTGAATTGGGGCTTCCTCATGTCATTTGCTTTGGCCAAAGGCATATGGGCAGAAGTGACAGCTCAAGACTTCCAAATCCGGACCTTAGGAGGCCTCCTGTGACTTCACTCCTCCTCTGGCACCACTGGAGGAGAAGGACGTATGTTGGCTTGCTGCTGGTCGGAGGAGGATGTGAGACCAGTGGCTCTGAGCCTCCTGGCTGCTCCACGGCCTTGCTCCTGGAAGCAGAGCTGCACAGCTGAGGGCAGCCTAGAACAGGCGCACCCCAGCTCAGTCACAGACACGGCAAGAACATTTATTTTTGCATGCCATTGAGACTTGGGGTTGTTCATTACGCAGCAGCAGCTGACTAATGCACTGCCTTACTCACTTCCCCTGCTCCCCAGGCAGCCAGGGCATTGGCACAGGACACAGGCTGGGCAAACAGGATGTTTCCACTCAGGAACAAGTGGTGCAAAGAAACAGCATTGAGACAGCAGCATCTGGTTTCCAGGAGCAGCTCCAGCTAAGTGCCAAGGGCAGATGACAGTGCCAACTGAGGCATCTGGATTCTGTGGTGGTAGCAGAAGCATCCTCACCCACCAGTTCCCTGGCATGGGCACCCTGGCTGCCTCGCCCCCTTGATTCCTACTGCTTTCTGAGCCTGGTTTTCCAGCCTTCCTGCTACTTCTGTGAGCAACCAAATAGCCTTCCAGTGCACATTTTTGCTATTTAAATCAGCCAGAGTCAGTTTCTGTTGCTTGCAAACCCTGACTTACATAAGATGGGGAAATCCTAGCATCTGTTACATTTATATTATAATTTTGGAATTGTTTGGGTTACAAGTATCAGAATATCTGATCACTAGTCTCTTAAGTAGCACATTGTGATTTCTCATAAAAAGGAATCTAGAAGTCAGAGGTTCCAGGGTGGGACTGATGGCCCCATGATTTCAGGGCTCTGGGTGGTGGCATCTCTGTGCCTCTCCTCATGGCCACAAGATGGCTGCAGAAGCTCCTGGCATTGTGTCCTCATAGAAAGCAGTTAGGGTGGGAAGGAGGCAATAAGGCCTTTCCCTTGTCCAGAAACCCCCACCCACGACCTCCCCTTAAATCTTGCTGGCCAGAGCTGGGAAATGCGCCCAGATCGAAAACAACCCCAGCAAGAGGCACTGCCAAGAATGGCTCAGACAAATCCTAAATTAACCCCTGAGGCTGGGCACGATGCTGCTGGCACCAAATCATTGCTCTATTGGTGAAGGAGAGAGAAGTGGCTGCTGGGATGGCAACAAGCAGGGTCAGCTACAAGCCCACAGGAGAGGGGCTCCATAGCTCTCCTGCCCTTGGGATCTGCAGGCAGACAGTGCCCAAGGATGCTGGAGTGGATGATGCTGCTCCCACCTCCCCACCCAAGAGCCTCTTGCTTGTGCAACAAATATTCGGGCTGTGCCCCCTGGGATACACGGCCAGGTGCCCCCTAATAAAACCGTGTGTGGAGGCTCCACCAAGAGAAGCAAAATCTCCAGGGCCTGTGAGAACAGAGGAGCTGGAGCTGTGTTCTCAGAGACAAAGCCAGGGGCAGTTTTCCAAGCTGGCCAGGTCCAGGGCAGATTCCCACCTCACACGGCTCTCTGGAGGCCCCCTTGGCCCTCGCTCACTGCGAGGCCCCAGAAGTCACACTGGCCTCCTTCTCGCAGGCCTGCATCTCACCGTCCTGGGAGACGGCGTTTTCCCACAGCCCAAGCCCAGGTGTGGAGGGAGGCTCCTGCTGGCCCATGCAGGGCTGCAGCAGGGAAGCAGGATATCTGGAAGCAGACGGGCTTCCCCTAGCTCAGCCCCTATGCAGTGGACAGCCATTCTCGGCCCAGCCACCCTGGGCAAGAGGTGAAGGGAGGTGACGAGGTGACGGGCTCCAGACCCCTCCAGTGTGCTGTGCAGAGAGGCCAGGCTGGTCCAGGGGTGTCAGTGTGAGCGGGGGTTTAACTGCGTGTGAGCGAGCACAGAGCGTGTTACAAAGCGTATGAGCAATGCCACGTGTGAGCGCGTGACTAGATGAACGTGTGTGTCACAATGCACGAGTGCAGGTGTGCGTGTGAGCACATGCGTGCATGTGTGCAAATGTGTGTGTGCACTCATGTTCCGCCTTTCTCTGAAGGACACAAATGTTCACAAAGTGAAGATTCAAGCCAGTTTCTGCTAAATTAAAAACAGCTTTTTCATGTTTAAAGTTTACAATAAGAAAAATAATTTTCCTTTCTTCTGGGGGGGTGGAGGAGAGGGAGGGGCAGAGGGCCCCAAGAACATTCCATGAACCAACCCAGACGGTTATGCACAACCAACCCGGTTAGATACTGCTGCACCGCCCCCACCCCACCCCCAGCACCCCTGCCAGCTCATTGGGGACAAGATGTTGTGAGGTGTGAGCTGATCTGGGGGAACTTGCAGCTGGCAAAAGCTTCTCACTGCCCCCCTGAAGGGGCCATGCCTCCAGTGGGGAAGGGGGTCTCTTTGGGGGAGCTCAGGGCAGGGAGGGATGAGAAGGGTCTGGAATGTTCTGGTAAGTCCCCAAGGGCCACTGCTTTCACTTCGATGCCCTGGCTGCGTGGGCTTCTTCCTGGTTCCCAACCAAGTTCCTCTTTCAGCCTTGGCCCCCCACAGCCAGCCGCACCGGGCTATTGGCCGCTGCACAGGAGCACCAGGCCTGCAGGCACATTTTGAGAGTAATCCCGGAAGGCTCCCCTCATAAGGCTGTCTGGAATGGCATTCTCCACCAGCGTGCAGCCAGGTCACGGTGAGGCCTGCCACAAGAGTGGGGGCTGGGGGCAATTCGCGGAGCTCGTGGGCCCACATGGAAGCGTGATGACTTCGTGCTTCCTGTAGGAAAAGCCATGCATCTCCATCATCACCGCCTCTGGGGACAGGGGCTCCCCAGTTGCCTCATCTCGGGCCCCAGGACTGAGCAGATGGAGACAGAACCTGCTGGGCTGGGGGCTGCCTCGTGCATGGAACAACGTGGAGAGAGTCCTGCCAAAGGCTGCCCGGCACAGGCCAGTTTTGCCCTCCGTCTTCCAGGGCCCGGTGGAGTCCTGGCCACATTTCCCACTGCTCCCACGCCCCTGAGCCAAAGGCCAGCCCCCTTCCAGCTCCTCTGCAAGGCTAGAAAAGGGCGAGGGGGGGGAGAGCAGCCCCCAAGCACGTGGAGGACCGGAGGAATCTGTGACCCATCAGGCCCCACCAGCTCAGCACTGGGCCTGCTTCATCTCTTCACCATAATATTTTTATTAAATAAAAGGAAAATATTAGGAGATGACGTCTGCTAAGGTATAAGGTTAATTCTTTACACGGCGAGTGGGTCACAGAGACACGATATCAATCGTCTATTAGCAGCAGAAGAGACACTTTAAGTTGTCCCGAGGGTACAAATCCCATTTATAAGACAGCGGTGCCGGCCGCTTTAAAAAAAGCAAAACGGAACCAAAACAAATGTGGCTGCAGATGCCTCAAAGCCCTTGAAGGGAGAGGCCTCCTGGCCCACCTGACCTCCCACGTCGGGTGGGCCCTGGCCTGGTGGTTTGCTGACTTGAACTCAGGGTGAGGGGGAGCAGAGGGCTGCAAAGAGGGTGAGAAATAAAAGTCAAGGGCAGACCTGTACAGTGAAGACGCATTATGAGATTCTGAAGCTGGCATCCCCCTTCAACCACGGCACAGGGACAGGGACCGAGGCGTGGGCCCAGTCCTCAAGAAGGACCACGAGACGCCCAGTGCCAAACAGAACACCCAGTGCCTGTAAGCTGGGAGCTGACTGTGTTTTTCCTCCTGAAAGTAGCCGAGGGAACGCCCTGAAGGTGTGGGGACCGAGGACAGAAAAGCAGACGCGTACGGGACCTTCCTCCCCCGGCCCCTTCTACCCCCAGAAGGGTTTATTGGGCAGGTGGGTGCTTCCGAGCCCCCCTCCCACTCCTAGAGGTCTATATGTTACAGAGATTTGTGGTGCATTTATTTTAAAAAACACAGGCGCATAAACCTGGAGGGGGGTGAGTTGCATACCATGGATTTGGGATCACGTTAATCACGTTAATGAGCCCACATCTGAATGTCTGAGACGGCCAGGCTGTGGGAGGGGAGAGAAGCGGGGCAAAGCCACACAACACCACCCCAAAGAGCCCGGATTGCCACCCACGGACTAGGACAATGCATGACCAGGAAACCGCCTCGGGTGCAAGTTTGCTGCCATGACACGCCAGCCTCGTTGCTGGCAGGCAACCTCAGCCAGCGCTGAGCCCAGATCTGCTTCGGGAAGAAAGGAGGGACCTTATCAACAGGCAGACCCCGGGAGGCCAGCCCAGGAGAGGGGGGATCCGTGGTTCTCACTCAGACGTGGGCTCGCCAAGCCCCTCGTGGCGACAGTGGACGCCATGCCAGCCCCAGGGGCTACCTCCTGGTCCCGGCCCGGGGCAGCAGGACGGGGGCACAGGCGACGCCTGCGAAGGACTCCGGGAAGTGCAGGTCACGCTCCCACTCGTCTGTTTCGGTGTTGTACACCTGCACGATGCCTGTCACGTTGTTGAGACGCCAGTTGTAGCCCCCAACAATGTAGATCTTCCTGTCCAGCAGGCAGCAGCCGGCCTCCGACTGGCCGGCCCGCATGGGGCTCACGCTGGTCCACTGGTCCGTCTCAGGCACATAGTACTCTACGGCCAGCACGTCGAAGCAGCGGTCAACGTGGTCCATGCGACCCCCAAGGGCGTAGATACGGCCGCGGGCGCCCACCATGGCGTGGAGCACGCGGGGCTCGCTCATGGGCGCCTTGAACTCCCACTGGTCAGCTGCGGGGTCATAGCAGTGCAGCGCCTTCTTGTCCTCCACTGAGATGCCATAGCCGCCCGAGATGTAGAGGCGGCCCCCGGCCGTGGCGCCCGCGTGGCCCCACGTGCGGCGCTTCAGCGAGCAGGCATAGCCCCACTCGTTGCGCCGCGGGCAGTACCTCTCAACTGAGGCCAGGCTGCCGGCCCGATTGCGCCCACCCGTGGCATAGACCATGCCACACAGCACGTTCAGCTGGAACTGGATGCGGCTCTCCTGCATGGCCTGCAGGCGCAGCCACCGGTTCAGGTGGGGGTCATAGCGGTAGCAGGCGTCCACTGCACCCTCGCCACTGCGGTACTGCAGGTGCTGGCCACCAGCCACGTACACGAAGTTGTCCAGTACGGCCACGCACGTGTGGCTGCAGCCCACCTCCATCTCCGTGAGCTCACGGAAGTGGCGGGCGCCCGGCTCAGGCAGCTGGTACACCTTGCTGCTGACGGAGCGGTCGCTGTCGGTGTAGGGCGTGCCGCCAAAGGCAACCAGTGAGGGCACATCTGAGCGCACAACCGTGCGCGGAGACTGCATCTCATGCTGCCGGAAAGGCAGCACCTGGTAGTTGAAGGCCTCCAGCAGGTACTGGCGGCACAGCACATCCTCCACCATGATGTCCAGAGTCTGCACGCTATCCACCAGGTCCGACGACCGCATGAGCGGGAAGCGGATGTGGCAGAGCACATGGCTGGCGCGCAGCCGCCGGGCCGGGTCATGCTGCAGCCAGCGGATGGCAGCGCGGAACAGGTCGATCTCGGCACAGCTCTGCAGCCGGTTGCTCTGCAGGAAGAAGATGAGGCGCTCCAGTGGCAGGTGCAGGAAGTCCTCCTCCTCGGCAATCTGCAGGAAGTGCCGGAAGGTGAAGGTGTCCACTGACTCCTTGAGCGAGGCCAGGCTGAAGGTGGTGGCCATGTGGCCGATGTTGAGGCAGGTCTCCACGCTCATGGCGGCCTTGAGGAACTCCTCGCACAGCTCCACCACAGGCAGCATCTGCAGGAACACAGCGGCGCCCAGCACATCCTGCACACAGTCCAGGTCCAGCGTCACCTCGGCACTGTAGGCAAAGTCAATGATGTGCCGCAGGCCGCGGGCCGACACACCCTTCAGCTCGATGACGTCCTGGCTCGCTTCCCTCATACCACCCGTGAACATGGCCCTGAAGGTGGGAGACATAGCATGTGGGCTCAGGGAGGCCAAGGGGCATTGTGGTTGGCCCAGACCAGCCTGGCCTCAGATACTGGGGTATGGGGTGAGGGGGGCCAGAGGGTCATTAAAGATGTTCAAAAAACAAAAAAGAAAGATTTTGAATCCAGTCTAAACTATGCATCTTCCTACAAACAGCAGCTCCCCACTGTGCCCCTCCACAAGGGGCCCTGCCTAGCCTCACCCAGAAGCGTGCAGGCCTGGGGCCCAGCTGATTCGGAGGGTGGGAGCCGGGAGCCGCTCATGGCGGGGCAGGTGCAGCTGTGCAGAAGGAGACTACAGCTTGGCTTTGGCTCTGGGGACAGCTCTCCAGCCATACCTTGGCACCTGGCCCTGGAAGACCACACCTGCAGAAAGCCGAGGAGATGAGGCCGAGACCCCGCAGGCACTAGCAGCACTGTCCACAGAGCCCAGCCCCTCAGCGGCACGCTCACCTGGGCAGGTGGCTCCACCTTCCCCAGCCTGGGTCTCAGCTGCCGTCACACAGGGATGGGGAGGGGGTGAGGGTCCCCAGGTGGGAGTGCCCTTCAGGGGGCCCCACTGGGGTCACTGCCATCTCCAGAGAGAGGCCCAGGAGGTCAGGGAAGCCCCCCAAGAATGGCCCACAGGAGCCCCAGCCCACCATGAGATCCCCTGTGAGTGACTCAGCTGTCAGCTGTGCTGTCCTGCTCTGGCAAGTGGCACTAACGTGAGCACCAGTGGGAGACAAAGACCTGGGTCACAGTCCCCCCATGGCCTTCAGGGGCCCTCTACCGGGAAAAGGGGTGAGAACCCCAGCGCCCACTCAGAGCTTGTGGGAGGTTCTAGAAGATGGTGCAAGGGAGGCTCCTCTCACAGAGCAAGCTGGCATTTCATTATAACTGCGACTACTATCAGCATTCATCATGACGGCTGACCAAGGGGAGGGAACTTCACTCATCCATTTGCCCGACAGATGCCCGCCCCCCAGTTGCACACCCACTGTGGGCTGGGCTCGGGCCCCTGAGCAGGAACAGCTGAGCTTGGTGCTGCTGCGGGGCCACCAGCTAACAACTGCGCAACACTCCACGCCGCAGCGCCACAGAGCCTTCCAGGAGCAGCACTCTGCCATCCCCCCAGACACTGCCCCTTCTTGTCCCCACGAGTCCCATCAGCCCATCAAAGGCAGAGGCAGTCACAGCGACGGGAGGGAGCCTTGCCTTTTAAGGCCTTCCCGGCTGCAATGCCAGGGCAGAGGAGCCTTTAAAGGGCATTTCTGGCTGGGCTGGCCCGCCCGTCCCCAAATCCAGAATAAAAATAGAAGCGGCGCCCCAGATGGCTTGGCTGCTCCGAGTCCCCAGAACGGCCTCGTTGAGCCCACAGAGCGGGCAGCCGGGGGGCGCACCAGGCAAGGCACCTGGGCTGGAGGAGCATGCAGCCCACGGTGCACACCTGGGCTGGGGTTCTGAGACGGCGGGCAGGGGCGCCTCTGCCACAGCTGGCGAAGCCAGGCTGGAGTACCACCATCAGGGCGGGCCCCCAGCTCTCTGGTGGGGTCGCCGCCTGGCAGGAGGAAGCTTGCCGGCTGGTCACCAAGGGAATGAGCGAGACCATCCCTAGCTCGTGACAGCCCCCAGCTGGCAAGGAGAATGGCTCCTGGCCCTGCACCCGGGGGCCCTCGTGCCCCCACCAAGCTGGGCACAGGGAAGGAACTTTTAGGAAAGGGCCTTGGTGGCAGACTGACCCGTATACCCAGCAAGCCTTCACCTGTCACATGGGTACTGGACTAGAGCATGCGCACATGGGGGCACTGGTCTGTCCCTTGGCCTGAGTACAGGCACTGTGAGGGCAGGGACCTGCGCCTGTCCTATCCCTGCTGGATCCCTGAGGCCTAGAACAGTGCCTGGCACACACTGGTATCAAATAAAGACTTAGAAGGAAAACCTGGAGGAGCCCCGCCACCACCCCCAGGGCGGAAGCTGCTAAATAGGGGCCCACTGGCCACCTCTGACTCAATTCTCAGGCATATTCTGCTTGCTTGCACAATGTCCCCAAAAAGTTTGAATAAAGCTGCAAACCTGGAGAAACTTGCAGGTTTACTGGACATTTGGCCAACACCAGCTACTTTCACTCAGAGCCATCCCTGGCTGGCTGGTGCGGAGACGGCTGCCTCTTAGAAGGGCGGGCGCTTTCCAGCCTGCCCCTGGGGCCGCCCCACTCACCTGAAGTAGTCGCTGCAGGCGGCCAGGACCACCTTGTGTGCGTGGAAGGTCTCTCTGTTGATGGTGAGCATGACGTCCAGGAGCTGGCCCTGGGCGCGGAGGGTGGCCAGGCCCTGCAGGAGGCTGGTGCTGTGGCCAGGTGCCGAGAAGGTGCACTTGAGGGCTCCGTTCTTGTCGGCCAAGCTGCAAGACAGCAGAGGTGGGGGCGTGGCTCAGAGGCCTCAGGGCTGTCTGGTCTCCGCCCCAGACACTGGGCAGGCTCTGAAGGTGTCCCAGGCGTGGGCAAAATCGCCAGAACCAGCCCCAGAGAAGCAGAAACCAGACCTGAGTCCTGCTCACATCTGCCACCTGCCCACCAAGAGGCCTTGGCAGCAGACGCAGCCTCTCCACTTCCATTTGCCGCCTGTGAAACAGGAGGGGTTTCACATAGAACTGGAGGAGGTTACAATGACTCTTTTTTTGTTAAATTGAGGTGAGATTCACATAACATAAAATACACCATTTTAAAAAATCCAGTGGCATTTAGTACATTCACCATGTCGTGCAACCATCACCTCTATCTAGTTCCAGAACACTCCCATCACCCCAAAATGAAACTCCGTCCCCATGAGCAGTCAATCTCCATCCTCCCTCCCCCAGCCCCTGGCACCCACTGATCTGCTTTCTTTTTTTTTTTTTCGTGAGGAAGATCAGCCCTGAGCTAACATCCATGCTAATCCTCCTCTTTTTGCTGAGGAAGACCAGCTCTGAGCTAACGTCTATTGCCAATCCTCCTCCTTTCCCCCCCCGCCAAAGCCCCAGTAGATAGTTGCATGTCATAGCTGCACATCCTTCTAGTTGCTGTATGTGGGATGCCGCCTCAGCACGGCTGGACAAGCAGTGCATCGGTGCGCGCCCGGGATCCGAACCCGGGCCGCCAGTAGCGGAGCACGTGCACTTAACCACTAAGCCACGGGGCCGGCCCTGATCTGCTTTCTGTCTCTGTGGATTCGCCTGTTCCGGACGTTTCATATAAATGGGATCACGCACTATGAGGCCTTTTGTGTCTGGCTTCTTTCACTCAGTATAATGTTTCTGAGGTTTATCCATGCTGTAACATGTGTCAGTGCTTCATTCCTTATTATGGCTGAGTAATATTCCACTGTGTGGATGGACCACAATTTCTTTCTCCCTTCATCCATCTACGGACATGTGGGTTGCTTCCACTCCTCCCCTTTTTACAACTTTATTCCATTATTTTTCACTCTAAATGTGCCTTGTGAGCACTCATTTTGAGGTAGAGGACCCTCTGTGTCACATTGCTGTCCCCCATGCCCCAGCGAGCTGCCCCCACAGGTAAACCCATCTTCTCTCCCCTGCAAAGGGTGGAGTGGGATTAAGGGGCTGGCACAGAGCCCCAGTTCAGGTGTGAAGGAGGAACAACGACTTGCAGCTTCCCAGGCAGCACAGGCCCTGGGGATGGGGGTGTCACAAGCCAGCCGTCCACTGGGGAGCAGGGAGCACCACCTCCAGGAGGAGCCAGCCTTCAAGGCCCAGCCACACCAACACCTGCCCAGCCCACTTCTTGTGCCCAGCACCCCAGGGGAGGGCAGCCACACAACCACAAAGTCACTCTGGCCATTTTCAGAAGAATTTGGCTCTGGCCTGCAATCAGTGGCCATCCAGTCAAGGGGAAAGGCCTGTCCCACCTTCCAGGGACAGGGAAACGGCAAGTGGCTTGTCCATAGCCCTGGAACTACAAGAAGATGCAGCAGGATTTGAACCTGGGCCTGGGAAATAGCAGGCTACACGGGATCTTCCTGTTACCCTGTGGTCAATATGGGGCAAAGCATAGCAAATTGTGGGGAAGCCACAAAACCAAGAATATTTGCCCTAAGAAAATGAGTTTACCTGTGGCGGCAGCTTGCCAGGAAGAAGGGGACGAGTGAAGTAGAGAGCCCTGCACCTCAAAATGAGGATTCAGGAGGCAAAGGTCATTTTAGAATAAAAAATAAAGTTTTAGAAAGGAGAGGGGTGGAAACACCCAAATGACCATCAACGGATGAGTGGATAAACAAAATGTGGTGTATGCACACAATGGAATATTACTCAGTCATAAAAAAGGAATGACTCTGATTCATGCTACAACGTGGAAGAAACTTTAAGACATTTTTCTAAGTGAAAGAAGCTAGACACAAAAGGCCACATGTTTGCATGATCCACTTATACAAAACGTCCAGAACAGGCAAATCCAGAGACAGAAAGCAAATTGGTGGCTGCGAGGGGCTAGGGAGGGGGGATGGAGACTAACTGCTCAGGAAGACAGGGTTCCCTCTGGGGGGATGAAAATGTTCTGGAACTAGACAGAGGTAGTGGTTGCACAACACTGTAAAAGCACTAAATACCACTGAATTGTACACTTTAAAACGGTGAATTTTATGTTATGTGAATTTCACTTCAATAAAAAAACAAAACAAGGGCCAGCCCCGTGGCTTAGCGGTTAAGTGCGCGTGCTCTGCTGCTGGCAGTCCGGGTTCGGACCCCGGGCCCGCACCGACGCACCGCTTCTCCGGCCATGCGGAGGCCGTGTCCCACATACAGCAACTAGAAGGATGTGCAGCTATGACATACAACTATCTACTGGGGCTTCACGGAAAAAAAAAGTAGGAGGATTGGCAATAGATGTTAGCTCAGAGCCGGTCTTCCTCAGCAAAAAGAGGAGGATTAGCACGGATGTTAGCTCAGGGCTGATCTTCCTCACAAAAAAAAAAAAAAAAAAAAAAAAAAAAAAAAAAAAAAAAAAAAAAAAAAAAAAAAAAAAAAAAAAAAAAAAAAAAAAAAAAAAAAAAAAACGAAAAACAAAATGAAAGGACATCGAGCCTTCTCAGGTCCTGCATAAAACCCGGCCATGGCCGCCAGCACCTCACAGCATATGAGGCGCTCCGTGGTCCAGACCCCATCCCCCACTCATCCCCTCATCCCCTCCCCTCCAGCCCCTATCCCCTTTGCTGTTTCATCTCAGAAAACTTTCGTAGAGTGCCTCAATGAATGAATGGTTCAAAAGGCCCTAATACATCACTTCATCCTCCAAATACAACAGGAGGGGAACGTGCCAACAGCTCCAGGGTCAGGCCCCTGTGGGGTCAAGAAGCCCCCCAGGACTCTCCCGACCCACGCCCCACTCCGCCCTGGGCCAGGGCCACCCTCCCAAGCACTCTGCTCTCTCCCCACAGCCTCCAGCTCTCTAGAACTTGCTTTCCCATTCCTGGAACTGATGCCTGCCCGCAAATGAGGGCCAGGAATGTGGGCACCGGTCTTTCCAAGAAAGCAGAAGGAGAAAGGCTTCTCAGCCCCCACTGCCCACCAGCTCCCAAAGCACTCCCGGGAGTAAAAGAGCTGACACCAAGCACAGGCACACAGTCAGTGCTCAATCAACGCAGCCATCGCTAACAGGAGGTTCCCGAGCACACACAGGCCACCCACCTCAGTGGCCCTTCCAGAGAGCCTCAGGAAAGGGGGCTGAACCAATCAATGGGCAGAGGGGCTGCAGGGCCCCAGGCGCTGACCACAGGCCTGCAAAGTGCTCAGGGTCCCAAAGGTGTGGGGACGTGGCATGGGGGGACACGGCCGGCACTTGGTAGAAAGGCTGCCTGTCCCTGGGAGGCAGGAACGCACATGATTTGGAGCCCAGGGCCACAGTCATCTGGGCTGGCGATGCTGGGGTGCCTGGGGCTCTGGCAGCCAAACCCAGGGTTTGCCTGGAAGGTTGGGTGCACAGCCCTCCTAAAGGCCATGGAGCGAGGGAAGGAAAGGGGCCCAGGAGGACCCCAAGTCTCCAGCTCAGCCCCGTCGCCTCTCCCCACCAGGTGAGGGGATGGCCACCTCATACACCCCCCTGCCTTCCCCGGCACGAGGCAGCCAGTGCCACTGCGTCCAGCCCATCCTGCCTGACCAGGCCACTGCTGTGACCCAAGTCTCTGCTCTTTCAGCTTGCCAAGACCCCATGATGGACCCAAGTTCTGAAGATCATTAAGAGAAGGCCATTGGTTCCTGGACCCTGAGGATTCTTTTTTTTTTTTTTTTTTTAAAGATTTTATTTATTCATTTTTTTCCCCCCAAAGCCCCAGTAGATAGTTGTATGTCATAGGTTCGCCTCCTTCTAGTTGCTATACGTGGGACTCGGCCTCGGGTTGGACGGAGAAGTGGTGCCTCGGGGCGCGCCCGGGATCCGAACCCGGGCCGCCAGCATCAGAGCGCGCGCACTCAACCGCCAAGCCACGGAGCCGGCCCGACCCTGAGGATTCTAAGGGCCTCAAAGTGTGCCCACCTCAAAGGGCTGCCCTCCACTCTACAGCCCCTGCAGGGACGCCTCCAGGGACAGGGCCTCACTGTGTCCTCTCGTCAACACCCTACAACAGTCCTGCAGCTGCCTGCACCAAGCCTGCATCCTGCACAAGTCTCCAAGGACCCCACCCCCCACCCCACCTGCTCGCCTCATCGGCTTTGTCAGCCCCTCTTCCCTTTCTCGTGGGTGGGAGGACACAGCGTGAACGAGATGGAGTGGCCCTGCCCTCACCAGGCGCACAGTCCAGGGAATGGGAACCAAAAGTGGTCAAATCGTCCAGAATCAGCCTCATGCTGCAGCTGTGAGCACCCCAGGGAGAGGGGACAGGAGCCGGGTGCAAAGAGGTACGGAGGCCAGAAAGTGAGGGTGTCCCCAACTTCTCCTCCCAGCCCTGCAGTTAGACAGCGACACCAGCCTTTCCCCTGGAGCAGAGGGCTTGGCTGCGTCCTGGGTGCTGGCCCCAAAGGCCTGGCTGCCACAAGGGCCTGCCCTGGGAAGCCAACCCACTCCCTGCAGCCCTGCCTGGGGCCCCGCCTGCCTGACAGTGTGCAGAGCCACCTCCCCCACCACCACGGGCCCTCGTGCCTGGGGCTGCGTGCTCACCCTCTCTGTGCAGCACAGTGGCCTGGTGGTCAAGAACGGGGAGTGACCCCTCGGAGCCTCCCTCTCAGGGACGGGGGAGGGGAAGGCAGAGAAGAGATGAGTCTTGAACTTTACCATGCGGGTGAATTGCATGGCATTAAGACACAGACTTGGACTCGGCAGGTCCAAGCACTGGAGTGGACAGCACCAGCATGCCACTCTCAACACCAGGATCCCCTAAGTCACCCAAACCCAGAGCCTGGCCCTGAGTGGAATG